GGGACCGCGTCGACCTGCACTTCAGTTGTCTTATCTGGAAGAGGAGGATGTCGGGCGATGTTGCAAGGATTGAGTGAGTTAATGTATGCAGAGTGCTGGGACGGGGTCAGGCTTTATCTGGTTAGCACTCCAATAGCTCTTCCGTTACCCAGGAGATTGATGGAAAGAAGGAGCGCAGCGGGCTGCCGTAGAGGGTAAAAGAGGTTTCCTTGGGGTTCGGAGATTATTTACGTTACCTGTTTAGAGATGGCTTTGGGTCGTGGGACTATAACTTAGCATCAAAGTAGTAAACCTGGCTGTCAGTCTAGCTGTTTCAGACGTGGGATATTTCAGAAAGAAGGGGGTTAAGCTCTCAGAGTTGGGGAGCTGTGAATTTTTCCTCAGAGTCTCTGAAGTCTCTCCTCAGGCTCTCCTGTGGACCCGAGCTGGGGTTTTTCCCTTAGGACGGGCCCCGGAAGGTGCAGAGGCAGGATCTTGTGCGTTTTCCAGGCCTGCTTTGGAATCGTGGTGTCTTTCTGCAGCTCTCCCGGCCCACTTCCCATCCCTGGCCCTGCCGGTTCTAGCAGTTCCACAGGGCCCAGTCCCTACAGCATTTACTTACCCCATTGCAGGGATGCCTGCCGTGTGCTCCCTGCAATTTTAATGACACGAGGATTACATCGGGGCACAGATAAAGTCTCCCCTTCGTGGAGCTTACATTCTAGCTGGGGAGAGACCATACCTGAGCAGCTAGCAGGAAAATAAAGCAGAGGGGTATGAGGGGAAGGAGGAAATGGATAGGATGCACTGGGGGAAAACCTGTAAAACCAAGCCCATTGCTGTCAGTTCCACCTCATGGCCACCCTGTCGGATAGAGTAGAATTTCAGCCCCATAGGGTTTCTGATGCTGTCAGTCTGTGGAAGCAGACTGCTACGTCTTTCTCCCACGGAGCCACTAGTGAGTTCAGACCACTGACTTAGGGTTAGCAGCTGAGAACTTAACCACTGTGCCACCAGGGCTCCGTCGAGTCTGGAGGAGGGGCTGTGATTTGCTGGTTTAAACAGGACGGCCAGGGAAGGCCTTAGCAGTCAGGTGAGATTTGCCAGCGTGCATGTGGCTGTGCGGACAAGCACCTCGGTGAGCGTTGAGCTCCTGCGTAGGAACACGGTGAGACCTTCTCATCCAGGCATGGGCTCAGAGAGGTCAGGGGCTGGGCAGGGCCTCAGGAACATGGGCTCAGAGAGGTCAGGGGCTGGGCAGGGCCTCAGGAACGGGCTTCCTGCCGAAGGAGATGGCGATCCAGTGCAGAGTCTTGAAACAAGATGGACTCGGCGTTGCGTTGTCACAGGGTCACTGACTTACCGCAGGCAGCTCCACTCTCACCTCCTCGGCAAGGGAACCAAGGAGCAGGCTTGTAAAGCAGGGTAGGAAAACACTGGCAGTAACGCACCTCGCCCCATGTGGGCTTCATAGCATCTTCTTAACAGTTGACTTCAGAGTCGTCTGGAGCCACTTTGGCTTTGTCCTGTTCATCTTTGAACCTGGGAAGGAGACAGGCCTGAGCAAAAGGCAACAGGGAAACCAGGTCCTAGTTGATTGTTCTGAGAAGAGGGACTTGCTGACAGAGGTGTCACACTCTGTGGGCCCCAGCAGAGCACTTTGGCAGGGGCCATTCTGTCAATCAGGGCAGGAACTTCCTGTCACTTCTCTAGCCCTCCGTACCCAGGGACCCAGGTCAGTGGCTGAGAGGGGCACCTTGGACACACTGATGTGTCAGGAAGAGCTTGACTCCCAAGTCTGGTTGACTGCAGAGTAAGAAGTCGGAAGGGTGATAAGGGTTGAGTGTCCTGGGGTTATCACAAGTCACTGGTGATTGGAGGAAACTGGCAGTAAGGTGCCTTTGTGTAGAAGGGACTGCTTCTGTTCTCAGGCCAGTTCCATTTCTCAGGGGATGGGGGACACGGGGACCAGGCTACTGGTGAGTGATGGCCTCTTCGTTTGAGAGTCTCAGCCCAGTGACCTGTCTTACACACAAAAGCAAAGAAATGAAAATGCTTTTCTCACCTTTCCCTCCCCCACCGTAACTGTGTTAAAATTTCCGTCTTTCAGTAATAACAGCCCCATACTGTAACCCAGTGGGATTTGGGGGGGCCCATTTGCTTTTACTGGATTGAATTTGTATTTACCTTGAGTGTTTCTGTTCATTCCCATAGATTCCTGCCCCACGTTTTAGGCCATTTCTCTGCTTATTTGCATTTCAAGAAATGCACAGGAAAAGGAGTAAAAGGAGATGAAATTCAGACCAGTGAGCTCACCTGGGCACGTGAATTGCCTTACCCCTTCATAACCTAGACTTGATGTGGTCTGTCTGAGGAGATGCCTGTCTGATATTTTTCTTTCTCTTCCTCCCGTTTCCAGGAGGGCTGTTGGCCTGCCGCCGTGCTGCTGAACAGTATGCAGTCCTTCCGGGAGCAAAGCAGTTACCACGGAAACCAGCAGAGCTACCCGCAGGACGTACACAGCTCCTCCCGGATAGAAGAGTTCAGCCCTCGTCAGGCCCAGATGTTCCAGAACTTCGGCGGTGGCAGTGGCGGCGGCGGCGGCGGCAGCAGCAGTAGCGGTGGTGGACGGCGAGGAGCAGCAGCTGCTGCGGCAGCAATGGCTGGCGAGACCTCTGGCCACCAGAGCTACCAGGGGTTCAGGAAAGAAGCTGGGGATTTTTACTATATGGCAGGCAACAAAGACCCTGTGGCCACAGGAACCCCGCAGCCTCCTCAGCGAAGGCCCTCTGGGCCTGTGCAGAGCTATGGGCCCCCCCAGGGGAGCAGCTTTGGCAATCAGTACGGGAGCGAGGGTCACGTGGGCCAGTTTCAAGCCCAGCACTCGGCCCTTGGTGGCGTGTCTCATTATCAGCAGGATTACACGGGGCCTTTCTCCCCAGGGAGCACGCAGTACCAACAGCCAGCCTCCAGCCAGCAGCAGCAGCAAGTCCAGCAATTGAGACAGCAGCTTTACCAATCCCATCAGCCTCTGCCACAAGCCACCGGCCAGCCGGCGTCCAGCTCGTCCCATCTACAGCCAATGCAGCGGCCCTCAGCTCTGCCGTCCTCTGCTGCCGGCTACCAGTTAAGAGTGGGTCAGTTCGGCCAGCACTACCAGTCTTCTGCCTCTTCCTCCTCCTCCTCTTCATTCCCATCCCCGCAGCGTTTCAGCCAGTCTGGGCAGGGCTACGATGGCACTTACAGTGTGAATGCCGGTTCCCAGTATGAAGGACATAATGTGGGTTCCAATACACAAGCTTATGGAACGCAATCAAATTACAGCTATCAGCCTCAGTCTATGAAAAATTTTGAGCAGGCGAAGATTCCACAGGGGACTCAGCAGGGGGGGCAGCCGCAGCCGCAGCCACAGCAGCAGCCGCAGCAGCAGCAACAGCAGCCACAACCACAGCCCCCACAGCCCCACCCCCCTCAGCATGTGATGCAGTACACCAACACTGCCACCAAGCTGCCCCTGCAAAGCCAGGTGGGGCAGTACAGCCAGCCTGAGGTTCCTGTGCGGTCCCCCATGCAGTTCCATCAGAACTTCAGCCCCATTTCTAACCCTTCTCCAGCCGCCTCTGTGGTTCAGTCTCCGAGCTGTAGCTCTACACCATCCCCTCTCATGCAGAGCGGGGAGAGTCTCCAGTGTGGGCAGGGCAGTGTGCCCATGGGCTCCCGAAACAGAATTTTGCAGCTAATGCCTCAACTCAGTCCAACCCCATCGATGATGCCCAGTCCTAATTCTCACGCTGCAGGCTTCAAAGGATTCGGACTAGAAGGCGTGCCAGAAAAGCGACTGACAGACCCTGGGCTGAGCAGTTTGAGTGCTCTGAGTACTCAGGTGGCCAATCTTCCCAACACTGTCCAGCACATGTTACTGTCTGACGCCCTGACACCTCAGAAGAAGACCTCCAAGAGGCCTTCCTCGTCTTCTAAGAAAGCAGACAGCTGCACAAACTCTGAAGGCTCCTCGCAGCCTGAAGAACAGCTGAAGTCTCCCATGGCAGAGTCGTTGGACGGCGGCTGCTCCAGCAGTTCTGAGGATCAAGGCGACAGGGTGAGGCAGCTTAGTGGCCAGAGCACCAGCTCTGACACCACCTACAAGGGTGGTGCCTCCGAGAAGGCCAGCTCCTCACCGGCACAGGGCTCTCAGAACGAACCCCCCCGGCTCAGTGCCAGTCCTGCAGCAAGAGAAGAGGCCAGCTCACCAGGTGCTAAGGACACACCTTTGTCATCTGAGGGCAACCCAAAAGTCAACGAGAAGACCGTTGGGGTGATTGTCTCCCGGGAAGCCATGGCGAGCCGGGTAGAAAAGACTGGCGGACAAGATAAGGGCTCCCCAGAGGATGATCCTGTGGGCACTCAAAGGCCGCCTAGCACTGGTGGGGCAAAAGAAGGCAGCCACCCGGCACTTCCCCAGCCAGAGCCCCCAGGAGGAGGGAGCAGAGGAAACAAGAACGGGGACAGTAGCTCCAACCACAGTGGAGAGGGAAATGGCCAGAGCGGGCATTCTGCAGTGGGCCCTGGTTTTACAGGCAGGACTGAGCCAAGCAAATCTCCTGGAAGCCTGCGCTATAGTTACAAAGATAGTTTTGGGTCAGCCATGCCGCGAAATGTCAGTGGCTTTCCTCAGTATCCTACAGGGCAAGAGAAGAGTGATTTTACTGGCCATGGAGAACGAAAGGGGAGAAATGAGAAGTTCCCCAGCCTCCTGCAGGAGGTGCTTCAGGGTTACCACCACCACCCTGACAGGAGGTATTCTAGAAGTACCCAGGAGCACCAGGGGATGGCTGGTGGCCTAGAAGGAGCCTCGAGGCCCAATGTCTTAGTCAGTCAAACCAATGAATTAGCTAGCAGGGGCCTTCTGAACAAGAGCATAGGGTCCCTATTAGAAAACCCCCATTGGGGTCCCTGGGAAAGGAAGTCCAGCAGCACAGCTCCGGAGATGAAACAGATCAACTTGGCTGACTATCCAATTCCCAGAAAGTTTGAAATAGAGCCTCAGTCGTCAGTGCATGAGCCTGGGGGTTCTCTGTCTGAAAGAAGGTCGGTCATCTGTGACATATCTCCACTGAGGCAGATTGTCAGGGACCCAGGGGCTCACTCGCTGGGACACATGGGTGCCGACAGCAGAATGGGGAGAAGTGAACGGCTCAATCCAAGTTTAAGTCAGTCGGTCATTCTTCCAGGTGGCTTGGTGTCCATGGAAACAAAGCTGAAATCCCAGAGCGGGCAGATAAAAGAGGAAGACTTTGAACAATCCAAATCCCAGGCTAGTTTCAACAACAAGAAATCTGGAGACCACTGCCATGCTGGCATCAAGCATGAGTCTTACCGAGGCAACGCCAGCCCTGGAGCAGCAGCCCACGATGCCATGTCAGACTGCGGCCCTCCACAAGAGAGCAGGCCCACGCCGATGCGGCGGGTCCCTGGCAGGATCGGTCGGGAGGGCATGAGGGGCCGGTCCCATTCTCAGTATCACGACTTTTCAGAAAAATTGAAGATGTCTCCTGGGAGGAGCAGAGGTCCAGGGGGAGATCCTCATCACATGAACCCACATATGGCCTTCTCCGAGAGGGCCAATAGGAGTTCCCTACACGCTCCCTTTTCTCCCAACTCGGAAAGCCTGGCCTCCGCTTACCACACAAACGCTCGGGCTCACGCTTACGGAGACCCTAGCGCAACCTTGAATTCTCAGCTCCATTATAAGAGGCAGATGTACCAACAGCAACAAGAAGAGTATAAGGACTGGAGCAGCGGTTCTGCTCAGGGTGTCATCGCTGCCGCCCAGCACAGGCAGGAGGGGCCGCGCAAGAGCCCGAGGCAGCAGCAGTTTCTGGACAGGGTGCGGAGCCCTCTGAAGAATGACAAAGATGGTATGATGTATGGCCCGCCCATGGGCACTTACCATGACCCCAGCGGTCCGGAAGCTGGGCGCTGCCTCCTGTCCGGTGATGGTCTGCCTAACAGAGGCGTGGAGTTGAAGCACGGCCCCCAGAAGCTACAACAGGAGTCTTGTTGGGACCTTTCTCGGCAGACTGCAGCAGCCAAAAGCGGTTGTCCTCCAGGAATGGCCAATCAGAAGAGGTACGGACCGCCCCATGAGACTGATGGACACGGACTGGCTGAGTCCACGCAGTCATCCAAACCTAGCAATGTTATGCTGAGACTTCCAGGTCAAGAGGATCACTCTCCCCAAAACCCCTTAATCATGAGGAGGCGTGTCCGGTCCTTTATCTCTCCCATCCCCAGTAAAAGACAGTCACAAGACATGAGGAACAGCAACACGGAAGACAAAGGGCGCCTCCTTCCCCCATCAAAAGAAGGTGCCGATAAGGCGTTCAATTCCTATGCCCATCTTTCCCACAGTCAGGATCTCAAGGGTATCCCCAAGAGAGAGTCCTCCAAGGACCTCACAAGCCCAGATAATAGGAACTGCCCTGCTGTGCCCCTCACAAGCCCTGCTAAGACCAAAATTCTGCCCCCACGGAAAGGACGGGGATTGAAGCTGGAAGCTATCGTTCAGAAGATCACATCCCCAAATATTCGGAGGAGCGCGTCCTCAAACAGCGCGGAGGTGGGGGGAGACACGGTTACCCTTGATGACATACTGTCGCTGAAGAGTGGGCCTCCCGATGGCGGGAGTGCTGCTGTCCAGGAAGCTGAGATGGAGAAGAGGAAAGGCGAGATGGTATCTGACCTAGTAGTGGGTCCCACAGACCAGGAGCTGAGCAGGGAGAAGCCCCCTCTGCGGTCCTCAGAAGAGCGGCGTGGCAGCGGGGACGACAAGGTGAAGACAGAGACACATCCAGAAACGCTTACTGTCGGCAAGGAGCTCCCTGGTGCCATGGCATCTGCAACCTCACAGAAGCCCGGCAGTAACCAAGGGAAACCAGATGGCTCCCTGGGCGGGACAGCACCTTTACTCTTCTCTGACTCAAAGAATGTATCTCCAGCAGGCATGTTGGCCCCTGAGGTGAACCCCAAGGCTGAAGAGAAAGAGACCGATACAGTGACGATTTCCCCAAAACAGGAGGGTTTCCCCCCAAAGGGATATTTCCCATCAGGAAAGAAGAAGGGCAGACCCATTGGAAGTGTGAACAAGCAGAAGAAACAGCAGCAGCCGCCGCCCGCACCCCCTCCGCCCCCTCAGACAGCACAGGGCTCTGCAGACGGGGAGCCAAAGCCGAAAAAGCAGCGGCAGCGGAGGGAGAGGCGGAAGCCTGGGGCGCAGCCCCGCAGGCGGAAGACCAAGCAAGCCGCGCCCATCGTAGAGCCTCAGGAACCCGAGATCAAACTGAAGTACGCCACCCAGCCGCTGGACAAAACCGACGCCAAGAACAAGTCTTTTTTCCCTTACATCCATGTAGTAAATAAGTGTGAACTTGGAGCCGTTTGTACAATCATCAACGCGGAGGAAGAAGAGCAGACCAAACTGGTGAGGGGCCGGAAGGGTCAGAGGTCGCTGACCCCTCCGCCCAGCAGCACGGAAAGCAAGGCGCTCCCAGCTTCGTCCTTCATGCTGCAGGGACCTGTGGTGACAGAGTCTTCTGTTGTGGGGCACCTGGTTTGCTGTCTGTGTGGCAAGTGGGCCAGTTACCGGAACATGGGTGACCTCTTTGGGCCCTTTTATCCCCAAGATTATGCCGCCACTCTCCTGAAGAATCCGCCTCCTAAGAGAGCCACAGAAACGCAGAGCAAAGTCAAGGTACGGCACAAAAGCGCTTCCAACGGCTCTAAGACGGACACTGAGGAGGAGGAGGAACAGCAGAAGGAGCAGCGGAGCCTGGCCGCCCACCCCAGGTTTAAGCGGCGGCACCGCTCGGAGGACTGTGGCGGAGGCCCTCGGTCCCTGCCCAGGGGGCTCCCTTGCAAGAAAGCGACCACCGAAGGCGGCAGCGAAAAGACTGCTTGGGACTCAAAGCCCTGTGTGCCCGCCGCTTCGGAAGGTGGCCCCGAGCTGGAGTTACAAATCCCTGAACTACCTCTAGACAGCAATGAATTTTGGGTCCACGAGGGTTGTATTCTCTGGGCCAATGGAATCTACCTGGTCTGCGGCAGGCTCTACGGCCTGCAGGAAGCGCTGGAAATAGCCAGAGAGATGGTGAGTACCACGGCCTGGCCAGCGTGCTTTCACGCTGCTTGCTGCATCTGGTCCCGTTTTGGTTCCGTTGCTTGCACCTTGACTTGTCACCTTGCTCTTGCGTCGTCCGCATCCCATGTTTACGGCTCCAAATTTAGAGATGCTCGACCCAAATGCTGGACTGAAAATGAAGGAGGTGATAGGGAAGGTTTATTTCACTTTTTATCAGTACAGCGTGGCCAGAGGTTACAAAGTCACACAAGCGCTGTGTTGTCGGTGCTGTAGTTAGGGGCCATGGAGTTAATCTCAGCTCATAGCACGACCCCGTGTGCCAGAGTAGGACTGTCGCGTGGGGTTTTCTTGGCCGCCATCTTTATGGAATTGGACTTCTCCACAGTTGGTTGGTGGGTTCGAACTGCCAACCTTTTGGTTAGCAGTGGAGCGCTTAATCGTTAAAGTTTATTAAATAAGGGTCCCAGATCCCCCTCCTCAAACCTGGTTCCGGTGTCCCAGAAGCAGTCATTTTCAGCAGTTTCAGCTTCCTCAAGCTGCTTCTGCAAGTTTCCTGTTTCTACCTAACAAGCTTTTACTACTATTTATAGGAGCTTTATTGATTTTTTTTTTTTTTTTTTTAATTTTTAGAATCCAAGTGAAAATTTAGCACTTAACCCTTCCCTACACACTCACACTCACCCCTTCTTATTCTGCCACATATCCTGTGTTGTGTTTAGTGATTATGCAAATTCTTAGGAAGATACAATGATTCTGTTTCCTTTCTTGTAGAACTTTTCATCTCTCTAGGATGATTCATTTTTTCCCTGTTCTCCTTTGCTTTTATTTTCTTGGACCACGTCTTTCCAATCAGGATAGTTTTTCTTCAGGTGTGTCTCATGGCTGTGGTCCTGGGACGAGCCTTCAGCAGCATTGCTTCTCTCTCCTGTTCAATGTTGAGTACTGGCTTCTTTCTTAATACGAGCCCTCAGTCATCATCCGTTAGTAGCTTCCTGAAGAGTTTCGTGAGGGCCCCTTTGTTTGAGATCTTGTCTATCTGAACATCTCTTTATCCCACCCTCATTTCCCCTGGAGAGGTGGCTGTGTACAGCATTCTAGATTTTAAATACTTTTCCCTGCACATCTTGAAGTCATTCCTCCTGGCTTGTCTTGTAGCTCCCAGTGTTGCAGGTGAGCAGATGGAGCCGTTCTGAGGTTCAGTCCTTTGTGTGTGGCATTATTCTCTTCTGGAAGGTTTGACGGGCCTGGAATTTCACAGTGCTATATGCCTTGAGCTGGGTCTCTGCAGTTCCCAGGTGGGGCCTTGTGAGACAGCGCTCCAGATCTGAAGACGCGTGGCTCTCAGTTCAGGAAGTTTGTTGCGTGGTGGTTCTTGTGTCATTTCCTCGCTCTGTTTTCTTTCCTGGAATTCCTGTCGGTCAGTCTTACGCTTCCTGAGTTGATCACTGGCTTTCTCTTTCCTCTCCTCCTCTTTGCCTTTTTGTTCTGATTTCGCCATGCTTGCTTCAGTGTTATCATCTGACCTTTTGTTTATTTTTGTTTCTGTTCTCTTCAAGAACTGCTGCTTCTCTAAATATACTGATTTTCTTTTTTAAATAATCATAGGCTATTTTATGGCTGCAATAGTTTCCCTTATTTTTTGAGCACATTATATGTATTTAAATTTTTTTTCCTTTTAATCTTTTTACCTCTGCTGTTTTCTTTCTTTTACCAGAGGTTCTTGAAATACTGATTATCCTTGACCATCCATTAATGTATCTCAGAGAGAGACGTTAAAATGCATGACTTGGCTCTGTCTTACATTGGGAAGGCTTGGTGGTCGTGAGCCTCTGTATAGTGGTAAACCATCCAGTTACCTTCTTCAGTGCTCGTCTTGGAATTCAGTTTTGTAGGAGAAAAATCTTGACATTTCTGCCCAGGGGCTATAAGCCAAGCAGGAGAGGAACCAGTGGGATTGTAGGGGTAGGGGTAGCGTCTCATCAGTCAGGGGGCAGACTTTGACTTACTCCCACCTGCTTTTAGTATGCCCTGTGCCCCTGCAGGGAGACAGTTCCTTGGTTGGATTAGATTGAGTTGAGTTTGGGATCTCGCTCCTCCTGCAGACGTGGTGCTCACGCTCCAGTGACCAGCTCTGAGCAGCTCTCCACGCACACGTTTAAGCCCTGCTTCCTTTCCGTCTGCTGAACTGCTTCCTCACCGTCTGTCCGACTTCTCGCTTCCAGGATTTGGATACCTCATGAGTCTACTCCCATTCCTCATGTCCCCTAAAGTTTGTCTAGTCACTTTATCCCATTATTTTTGTGAAATAAGAACAGATAGCAAAATGTATGTGCAGTCTGCCATATTTGATCAGATGAGAATTTTTGTATTAATGTATTTTTACAAATTCGTCATACTGACAAGTATACAAATGATTTTCAGTCATAATAAAATAATAATGAGTTGAGCGTAGCATTCCTGGATACGTTATGCTACCCACCATGCCTGCTCTTTATTTTATCATTTCATGATCCCTAGAACTTAACAACAGCGTTTGGCAAAAAAAAAAAAGTACTCGTAAACTGTAGTGAAAAGAAACACTGAATGGGAAAGTGATGTATATTGAAATCAGAATATTCTAATTAAGTCACACACACCCGACCCCCCCCCCCCCCATTAGCATCAGTCATTTCTGGCCTCATGTTTGAAATAGAAGACTCATTTCCTCTAAAAAGTTTAGACTCAGTGGTGTTTTAAAATGCAAAGGTGCTGCAGGGGCACACATTAAAGACTCAAGAGTATGGAATTCTTTAAATGCTCAACAAATCTGAGCATAGTGGCCCATTATCAAATCTGAGCATAGTGGCCCATTATCAAATCTGAGCATAGTGGCCCATTATCAAATCTGAGCATAGTGGCCCATTATCAAATCTGAGCATAGTGGCCCATTATCAAAGGAGCCCAGGTGAGGTGCTTAAAGCACTCAGCTGTTGACCAAAAGGTCGGGGGTTTGAACCCACCAGCCACTCTGTGGGAGAAAGATACAGCAGTCTGCCTCTCTAGAGACTACAGCCATGGAGGCTCTACAGGCAGTTCTGCTTTGTCCTGCAGGGTCGCTGTGAGTCAGAATTAACTTGATGGCAGTGGGTTTTGGGGGGCTTGGGGTCCATTATTGTCATCTTGCCCAAGTTTGCCAGCTTTCATCTGAAAGTTACAGTATTTAGTAGGTTGGTTTGTTTGTAGCTTTTTTGGAGGGGGTGTGTGTATGGGTGAGTGTGACCATCTGCCATTGTTTTCTTCATTTCAACATAGAATATTATTAATGTTGCTTGGTGCAGTTTTATGTGTAAACTTGTGTGCGTTCTGTAGCAGTAACTGGTAACCTGAAGTCAGCAAGCTAAAACCCAGCACAGCAAGTCCGTGGGGCCTGTGTCTCCAGCCAAGTCTAGGTTGCAGGAGATAACAGGCAGGCACCCTGGATCCCATTCCGTCCAGTCCCGGAAGCATTGTGACAATGGGCCTGCCTTTAAAATGTCTCATCAGGAATCTTCAGAAAGTCTCCTGCTAGTCAGATTTGATCCCAGGATAAAATCAAGAGCGTTAGAGCTGGAATAGGCACTAGAGGTGACCAGCCAGCCTCTATCTTAACCCCACCCCAGTTTTTAGTGACTGTGATAACATAGCATAGTGCACTTTGGGTATCTCTTGATTAAATATATATATATATATAATGTACAGTCTCAGATGTTGCAAAAGTTGTAAAACAGGTAGTTTTTCCTCTTGTCCAGTCGTTTCTGACCCATGCCACCGTATGTTAACAGAGCAGAACTGCCCCCATAGGGTTTTCTCGGCAGTAATCTTTGTCGAGACACGTCACCAGGTCTTTCTCCCAGAAGCTGCTGGGTGGGATTGAACTGCCCACCCTTTGGTTAACAGCTGTCTTCGTTATCTCAAGGAAAAAAGATTAAAAAAAAAAAAAACAACTTCACTGCCATAGAATTGATTCCAACTCATAAAACCCCCATTGGATTTCCGAGGTGGTGGATTGCCCCATTTTCTTCCCATGGAGTGGCTGGTGGGTTTGAACCACCAGCCTTCTGATTAGCAGTCAGATAGATGCCTTAGCCACTGAGCCACCAAAGCTCCTTGTCTTACCTAGTGCTGCCATAGCACAAATATCACCAGTGAGTAGCTGTAACAAACAAATTTGTTTTCTTAAAGTTTAGGAGGCTGGCAGTCTGAATTTAGGGCACTGGCTCTAGAGAAGAGTTTTCTCTCTGTCACCTCTGGGGTAGGTCCTTGTTTCTTGGCTTCTTTATTATAGTCTTCATGTGGCATGACATCTGTCTGTCCTTGTCTCTCTTTTGCTTCCTTGCTAGTTTAATCTCTTTCATATCTCAGAAAAATTGTTTTAAGACACACCCAAAACTGATAACGATGTCACTAACATAACAAAGAAAACCCCTTCCCAAATGAGATTATAGCCACAGGTATAAACCAAAACAAACCCACTGCCATCAAGTCAATTCCAACTCATAGTGAACCCTGTAGGAAGAGTAGAACTGCCCTGTTGGGTTTTCAAGGCTATAATTTTCCAGAGGCTAGACGACTTCATCTCCCACGGAGCAGCTGGTACATTTGAACCTCCAACCTTTTAGTTAACAGCCGAGCATTTTAGCCACTGTGCTGCCCGTGTAGAGGTTAAGATTTAGAACACATATTTGGGGGGCGGGGGTGGTGGTGGTCACGTTCAGTTCCTTACAACAGCTGAGTGCTTAGCAGTTGTGCCGCAGGGCTGCTTTTCTCCACAGCAGGGACCATAAACTAGGCATTTGTAGCTCTACGGCGTCTCCGTCAGGAGCTGCACATCGCACTGGCCCCCCGAGCACAGGTTCAGAGCATTTAACAGGTGACTAGTCTTAAATCAGTCTCATACTGCAGCTTTAAGTCCGTTTCCTTATATTGCACCCGCTCTTCCATTACCCTTTTTAAACTTTCTTTCCTGAATCCATTCATTTACATATCTCTTT